GCGTGGATGCCTATTGGTCCCGGTTGGTGCCACCAACCGGGACCAAAGGGTCTCCTGACTGGGCTCTGCGCACTGCCCACGTGGAGGGCCTTTAGTCCCGGTTCTGGATTGAACCGGGACTAAAGGGGGGAGGTATTAGTACCGACACTTTAGTCCCGGTTCCGGAACCGGGACTAAAGGCCCTTACGAACCGGGACTATAGGCCCTTTTTCTACCAGTGAAAAGACCACCCCAAGCTGAACTATATAGTTACTATACTCAGTTACTCACACTGTATTCTAGGCAAATGGTGCAGCTAACCTTGGATCACAGCACCACACTTTTTCTTAATCCCCATGAGATTAGCCATGATTAAGGTCAATGGTCTTGCATTTGTTTACTGTGTTGATATGTTGATTTCCCAAAGAATTCCATGCAAGTAGTCCACTACTGAACGTGCATGTGTGTGGAAGAGGGAAACCTTGGATCTAGGGAGGAGATATATCTAAGTCATGGTCCAAGCTTTGCAGGTCTAGCCCAGTTTTTGATGATAGATCTGACTAACTAGCAAGAAATTATTGGTTTTATGAAACTTTTTTTAATTATGTTTAAAAATGATTTTTTGTTGAATAAATTCTTTTTCTGACCATTCTGACTCCAATTCATTTTCTGTGACATAATTACATAACTACTAATAACAAGTACACCACACCAAATTAAATGGACTTCTTTCTGGCAGAAAATTCTGAATTGTGTAGAAGACACATGGGGCCGCCATGTCCTCCACCTCAAACCAAATCTCGTTACATGGATTCGGAGACATATATATGTATGAGCGATTATGACTGATCAACTTCCTCTGACGGACGGCCCTACAGGACTGAAATTTGGTCTGAAAGCGATTCCTTGCTTGACGACAGTCTCTCTATCCATAATAGTGGGCGGAGGCGCCGACGCCGACGACGAGGACTGGCAGGAAGCTTCATCAACGCTGGGCGTACGCGCTCGACGACGTACGTAACACAGTTTGGACGCGCGTCCTAGTTATAATTGGCCTCCAGACAACAACAGCATGTTGCACACGTCGAAGCCTATTCCCACACACATAAATCTCAGTCTCCTCTCCTATCCGCCGATATATGTTTTTTTCTGGCTCTCTGGTCTCTGCAAGTCTTCGGTCTTCACCAAAGGGTGAGGCTGTGTTTGACATTTCTAACGCTGGCCGCCTAATCAGCGCAGGTAAGCACCGGCGTACGGCGTTTGTTTATGCCAAAATAAATCTAGTCCAAACAGGAGGGGGGTGGAAGAGAAGAGAAGGTCGAGGCCATGGTCTAGGCGTCTAGCTAGCTGCCTCTCTCCCTATATATACAAGGCCATGGCAAGGCTCGTAAAGGGCTAGAGAAGAAAGGATTGGAAGGCTACGGAAGCTAGCTGGTGAGAGAGGAGGAGGAGAGGGACCTTTGCCTTGCTCTAAGGAGAGATAGCTTGTCTTCTGTGAAGGAGATCGAGATGATCAAGGGAGACCAGCGGCAGCTTGGAGCTCATGAAGAGCGGTTGAAAGATCAGGTTTGGAACTGATTAATTTCTTCTCTTGATTTTGTATTTGTGCTGTCACATATGCTTCAAAGAGTTTGATTTTTTTTATTGAATGCTTGTTCATTTATTTGGATAAGTATGGTTAGGACTAGTGGTTAGGATTTGGCTGAGTTTCTCTCTTCTTTGGGTTGTGGCTCTTGATCCATGAATGGAAGTCAGGGACTTCTCTTTCTCATGTCAAAATCAGTCAGATGATCATCTTTAGGGACCACAGATCCTGGTACTAGTAGAACAGTCAAATTAAACATATGGATCAGCCAGGAATTGGATTTTTCAACAGCTAGCTGCTCGTCATCCAATAAATTCATAGTGTTATTAATTTTTTGATCATCTTATGCTAATATAGACTTTCATGCTGGCGTTGCAGATGAGAGATGATCATCGGGCCTCAGATGGCAATTTTTTCAAGTTCTTGCAAAACCAGTCAAGCACAGAAAAAGAGGTACATAATTATCAAACATGTTCAACAAACATAAACAGCACAACTTTTCTTAATTTGTTACATAAGGCAGGGCCTGGTAGGCAGTAAAAACTAGTAATAAGTAGCCTTTAAATTTCTTAATTATCCTGAAATTCCTCAACTTATTCATGAAAAAAGTACCTAAATCTATTAGCTATGTATATTTGCCTATAGTTTTTTTTCATCTAACTAGGTACCAAACTAGTTAGCTCCCAGTAGTCATATATACAAACCCAGCCAAGTAGCCAACTAGGCATTATCATATGTGATTTGCTTAACTAATGAGAAATGACTAATTGAAGTGTCTCTGATGTGATGGTTTCATTCATTCAGGCTCAAGAAGACAAGATTGCGTCCACAAGGGCAGAGATGGGCGAAGTGAGAAAAGAGAACGAGAGGCTGAAGATGATGCTATCACGGATGGTGGAGGACCATCGCTCCCTTCAGAAGCAATTCGACGTTCTCCACCAGCAAGGGCGAGGCAAGAACCTCGCCGTTGGCTCACCGGATCATACATCACCGGTCGACGGCCCCGGGTTCATCTCTTTGCGCCTTGGAACGAGCGCCGTCATGAGCAGGCAGAACATGGGAGAAGAGATCAAGGACAGCACTAATAATCCAGATGACAAGGGCATCTTTCTTGGACTTTCATCAGCCTGTGGAGCTGTTGGTGCAAGAACTGATGGAAGTGAGACGAAGGTGCGGCCAGATGTGGTGACATTGAGCCCTCGAGGCAGCTCCGAGGGGGAGGCCGCGGAGACGACAACGTCAGCCGCAGCAAGCAAGATGGCGAAGAACCCGAGAATCACCGTCAGCGGCGCGGAGACGGAGGAGGAGGTGGCCCGGCAGCCACTGGCCAAGAAGGCCAGGGTGTCGGTGAGGGCAAGGTGTGACACACCAACGGTACGTACATCTACATATACTCTAGGATACCTAATTAAGAACTTGAATGGGAAATGCATGAAAGGGATGTGGAAACTCATATGCGTATATATGATTTGAATGTATGGTTTGTTGGCGATCGATCAGATGAACGATGGGTGCCAGTGGAGGAAGTACGGGCAGAAGATATCCAAGGGGAACCCGTGTCCACGCGCCTACTACCGCTGCACCGTCGCAACAGGGTGTCCCGTCAGAAAACAGGTATGTATATTCACTGCAATACATCCAAAAGAACCCCAAAACATGGTACCAAAGAATCTGCGGCGAAGTGTGTTTCGCAAACCAAACATGATGAAGAACCTGTGTTTTGAATTTCGGCCGAATTTCGGCCATCTCGGTCTGGGGCGAAATATACTTTCCAGCGAAAAAATAGATTTTGGTCAAATTTTAGTCAAATTTTGGCTGAAATTCGGCCATCTCAGCCTGGGGCGAAAAATTTCACAAATCCAAAATCAAACCTTGCGAAGAACTATACATGTGTTGCTTCCAAACATCGCAGTGCAACTTAATTAGCACTCCCTCTATTTGTAATTAACCCTAAACCAAAAATGCTTCTATGTTCCGCAAACCAAACTTGACCAAGACCTATACATGTGTTGCTTTAATGTCAGGAAGTTGGCGCCGGCTAACAGATGTATTATATACAGCTCATAAAAAAAATTCAGTGCTGAACTGTTGAAGCTCGACACTTACAGATCAAAAATGTATACAACCCCAGATACCCTTTTGTAAAATTCAGGGAGATCCTTTTTTTTATACATTGGTTTCCAGCGAGATATAATTATGTCGTATTGGCAGAGCCATAGTACGTATTCTTATGTTTGCCCAAAATTAGCAAGATGTGTTCTCTTTTCTCGTATATTTCTCAAGTGGATGCCTAATACAGTTCATATTTAAGGTTCAAAACTAGCCAGTATCAAGTTCCCCTTCAAAAAAGTACTAGTACCAAGTGGCACAATCAACTAAATTAAGCCGCCATGTGCATATGGTCCCAAATCCGGCGTCCAGACTCCATTAATCAAGCGTTGGAGCGCCACCGGGGAGGGAGGGAGGGAGCTAGCGGGCCTAAACAGAAGAGCACGTAGCCGGAGATCGGAGCCTGACCTGATCACGAGGGAGGGCCGGAGCCGCCGGGGCGGTGATCGGGTTCCCTCCCTTCGCTTGCCCGGGCGTGGCTTCTCCGGCAACGGCAAGGGCGCTGTTGGGTTTTAGGGCGTGCTTGGAATGGTAGTAAGTAAATACGGGGGTGTATAGTTTACACTTGTATCTTACAGGCCGCGTAGCAAAATTGGGCTGGAAACCAAACGACGAGCCGAGACCTATATTTATTTTACACGTGTATTGGAGGAAACACGACAATCCAATCAAGGCCTTAGGCTGATCGCGTCGAAACAAATTGGTCCAGGTCCCACATGCCAGTGGCCGATGGGGGTTTAGTATGCTAGAGCCTGGAAAAGACTCTGATGGGCTTTGGGTTGGGCCAGCGTTGCCACATGTGTGTGTGTGCTGCATGCCATTTCAAGCAAGTCCAACCTTTTTCCCCTAAAAAAAGCAAGTCCAACCTTTCCCTCAAAAAAAAGCAAGTGCAACCTCCCCTCATGGAAAAAAACAATGTCCAAAATATATCCATGGTAAAAGTTCCCAATAACTTTGAAAAACACTGAGTTCATAGACATAGCATCTCTCTCTCTCTCTCTCTCTCTC